AACTATCTAAGGGAGACTATGGATCACAATTGAGTAGAAAGAAACATTCAAACCTCTCATTGACGTCCTTCTTGGCTCATATTTTAAGACCCATTCACTTAAAAAGTCCTAAAAAGATTATCAACAGTAAGCACTGCTGATGCTCACTTTTAAAAAATATTCCTGAATAGCAATTAACATTCACAGTCGCACGGCAAGATTATTATTGTTGTCGGTTAATTCCTCTACAAATCTCATCAAGTGTTGCGGATTATGTTGACTACTGCTCGTATAATCCTAGATATTTTTGCTGTTTTTTAATGATGTGCTGAAAATTATTTTGCGATCATCAAGTCATTAAAAAAGCAAAAATATTCAACTCGTTATGTTTTTTTCAGTTACATTTACAATTTGGAGAAGCTTCTCGAGAGTACGATGATGTTAATTTAAAGCTACCAAGTGTCTCTCTTAAGCTCGATTGGCTTCTTTTGGATATAAAAGCTGGTATTCGGAATGGATGTTAAGCTTTTTAATGATTGGGTATCAAAATTGAAACTAGTTTCGTTATAAGTTTTTTGTACAGTCTTAATATTTACAGAGACAGCAAATGTTCAGAAAAATAAGCTAGATGCATCTTTGAATATTTCAGATGCGGATTATATATCTCAAATTGGAAAACAGGACCCACATCTATACACAATAGTTCAAAAATTTATCAAAATCAATGAAAATTGTAAATGCTAACAAAGCTTTAAAATCAATTAAGAGATGCGTTCCTTAAATTCTAAATTTTATCTTAATACTTACTTGTAGCTTCGTATTTACCCCTTTCTTGTATCTCAAACAATTTCCTTCACTTCTTAGCTTCACTTAAGCTGAATCAATAGTGTTAACTGTTCAATTTTATCCTTTTTTTCTCTTACAAAGCTTCTTTTTACTTTTTATTCGATTCTTTTAATTGATTTTTTATTGAATCGAATCGATTCCTGAAATGATATCGCAGCAATAACTTTTTTTTCTCTTGAGTTAATGTTTTGCATGTAAATTGAAGCTGTACTTAGTTTTTAACGTTTATCGCTCATTGAAAATTAAAGACTGCTTTCGTATCGAGAGGAAACGACCGTAGGAGATTTATTCTCGTCTTCATCTTCCTTTTTTTTTTTGGTTGCTTAAAGTTTTTCATTTAACTTTTTAGGGAAAAGCTCATGAAAATTTGAAATATGAGAAAATGATATTTCGATGTCGCTATGAAATTTTAATGTTTCATGCTGTGTTAACTTATGTTGTGCTCGTAATTAACGACTCATTAATTAATGACAACGATAAAGTTTTGTCTTCTTCTTATTTCCTAGATTGGAGTATTAATTATTAAAATGATTTTTCCTCTTGAATTCATCATGCTTTTTTTGTGCTGTGACTGATGCTGATGTAAAATTTGTGTGAACGCAGGCATTTGCCTCAAATTAAATTATCAAAACTCGTGATCTTATTTTTAATTTGGTCATGTGCTTTTGGATGTATTATTTAATTGGGTTTTAAATAATTTTATTACATCACATTTCAAGTCTACAGCTATAGAATTATCTTACTTCCTTGAAGGTTGTGTTTTTCATATTTTGTGTTGGCGACTTGCTGATGTGTCAAATCAAAAGGTTCATTTTTCCTCACTTGATCCAAAAATAATATGAATTTTTAAACATTCAAGTCTGTTTTGATCATTTGAAACTTTGTGATGCTATTCCTTGTCTGTTTAAAGGAAGCATCTCAACCAATCCAAAAAAGCTAAAGCTTTACTCATATCAATGAATTTAAATAATATTCAAGGGAACAACTTTTAATTGATCAATCAATCAATCAATCAATTCGCATCAAGTAATTCTCTAATGACTTCCTTTTGAGAATTCCACACGAGTTCTTCCTTCCTGAAAAGTTTGTTTCCTTATTTCTTGTCAAATGAGATAACTTAAAATCAATCCGACTTTAAATTTATTGCATTGATAAGTTGACACAATGCCCAACTCTAAGCATTTATATGGACCTCTATTGTAAACAATATTGCTTTCATTTACGTACGTCTACATTCAGTCACACACGCTCCTTTATTTCCATTCACTCCATGAGGTTTACATTCTTTTCCTTTTCTTTCCTTAAAAACGATTGAAAGGATCAAGGATTGAATTGAATATATAAAAATTTCAACACGATAAGATTTGTCAGCTTTTTTCTCGTTTCTTTTTTCCATCCATTTGAGCGATAAATTTCAAATCATGTTATGTGCGTATCGACGATTAGTTAAATTTTGATTCAAACACGATTTCGTCATTTATAAAAATGAAATTTATATTGGAAGCATCATAAAGCATACGCATGAGCGAGTGTTGAGGAGAAATGTTCCTTGCTGCTGCCTCATACTACCAACAAAACAAAAAAAATATTAAAATCCATTCTTTTCTCCTCTCTGCAGTCAGGAAAGATTCTTCTCATGACTAGAAAAAGAATTGGAAGTACTTCCAATGTGCGAATAGATGAAAATTTATTTTTATATAAAAAAAAATTGGAAAGTTCTTAATGCTCAAAAAAAAAATAATATATCCATCGATGTGATAACGGATGCAACAGTTTTTTTTCTCGTTACTCTCACTTCTCGTGGAAATGAACACACATACGTGTGTATTTTTTTCTGTGACAGGTGAATTTAATTTGATGATGTGCTGATAGCAGAAAATAAAGGAAACTTTTCACATCAACATACTCTCATGCCTCTTCCTTTTATTTTAACCATTTCATTGTTTTTAATTGATTCAGCTATGCTTTATGTCGATTACATTTGTGAGATAATCATCAACTACATCACAATGTAGATTTATAGAGACATTATGTAAGAAAAAATTTCAGTTTCAGTTACAAAAACGATTAAGTAACATTTTGAAGGAGCTAGCAGGTTTTGTGTCCATTTTGTTGTCAACAAATAATTTCCAGCGCTTTGCCTATAATGCAAGAATAACGAATGAATTCAGTTGAGATTACAGTGAAATTTATATTGTTTATAAACATCAGCTAGCTAGATATGAGGTGGATCTAAATCTAATTAATCATGTTTTAATTTCTAAAAAGGCTCGTATGGGCTGTAAAATTGTAAAATGTTAAAATCAACGGCTTCAAGTTTGATTTGAGGTTTTTATTTGCACAGTTCATTGTGAATATAGCTAGAAGAGCATATCTAAAGTATGCCTAAGCATGGAGCTCGAGATGAAACTTGTTGAAACAGAATGCTGAACTGAGATAAGACCCTCGGTAGCCAAGTGGTAAAGATCTCCAACTGAGTAGTCGGAGATCACCTCTTTTGAAGTAGTAGGTTTGATTCTTATCAAATCCGAATTGTTTAACATTAGTCAACACATAAAGCAGTAATAGTGGATATGAGATGTTTCCTAAATTTTGGCATAGGAAGTTGAAATGATGATCTTTTCGATTGCCATTATCAATGAACGACTCCACTTGTTTTGACGAACATACCCAAAATTTCACAATATTTTATTAAAAATTACATGGAATAATCGGCTTGGTGTTTTAAGATCTGTAAAAGATTCGTTATTTGATGCATTTCAATAACAATTCAAGTCTTTAAGGGACCATTCACATATGACGTCCAGGGGGTGGGGGGCGTCAGCAAGAAAAGAACGATAGAAATTCCTAGAATTTCACTGTTCTTTTTTGAAAATGACCGTTAATTTCGGACGTCATAAGTGAACAGCCCATAAATGAAATACTTCTGTGTGAAAAGTGTTATGCGACATAAAGTATTAAGGATTATTTTCAATCTATTTTAATTTGATTCTAAAAAGTCATCAAATTCAATTTTTATTGAACACAAACAGAATAAGTGAATGACCCAACACCTAATTTGAAAACAAAGAAAAAAAACTTTAAAGTTTTACAGAATGAAGTGTCCACGATAAAACAGCAGATGCTCTGCCACATTGTGGCAACAAAATGAGGAAATTTACAACTTTTTCTCATTTATGTAAATTTCTGCAGCTACTTAAAAATCATTAAGAACTTGTTAGTGATGGTTCGGGGGATGTTGCTGGTGCACTGTGCATACTGTTTGTTGTATTATAATTTTTATGGCTATTAAAAAAATAATGTTTATTCATAAATTGTATGAACATCAAAAAATTTACATATTTTCCGCTATGCAACTTTTTTCAACCCCCAACCTAGCATATTTTTTTGCACCCATATATTTACAAACGCTTCTATTGTTGAATTTATATGATGCACTCAATGTTTTTATACATTTTCAATATTTTTTCATTACAGACACACAAGAGAGAGATGAGCTGTGAATTGTATATTGAATATGCACTGTGTACTTATTGATATGAATTTCTGACTTCAAATGCACTTCATTCATCATATTGTCTGATGCTGATGAAAAATGCAAAAGGAAGCGCGATTTTCAGCTTTATTTCTTGATACTTACTCAATTTTTTTTTATTTCTCCTGATTTTCGAGCTTTTTAAATTGAATTCAATTCTCTTTTCAATTGACTTACTCCAACTATAGAGAAACAAAATAGCATCATTCGAACAGAATTCAATATTTGTGAAACTATTTGATTACATAGGGAGGTGAATGGGTGAATAAAATATTCTGCAGAGGGATTTGTGTCTTGAATTGAAGGATTTTGATGGAATTTTTTGACTTTCGTATTGAATTTGGGAAGATTTTTAAAATCTAAACTTTTAACTGCTTTTTGAAATTCAAAATGTAACTTAAATGTAAACGATGTGTAACTTTCAAAGAATTGATGTGTAAAAATTTCAATCAATTGATGTGTAATAATGTGAACTTGATGTGTATCTCTTATGTAATTGATGTGTACTGATGTGTAACTATTAATTGAAAAGCCACAATTTACTTAATTCCGGTAAATTTCGTAAAATTTTATTTTGACCCAAAAAATCATTCATTCACGCAAATAATAAGTTTTTTTTATATTCATAAAATGGAAATATGCTAATTTTTAAACACAATATTTGAAATTTCTACGATAAGTTTTAATTCTTCTTTTTATCTTTACTCCAGACATTAAACTGTAAAATTTTGTTTAGTAATTATTATTTAATATTATTTATAATTCTTAATGACGATACTTATTACTTATGAATTATGGATTATTGACGTGTTGAAAGACATTCTTTTCGCCAGCTTCAACAAACCGCTCAATATTTGATGATGCATTCACTAAATGAATTTCAAACTTTTTATAATTATTCGAACTTATTAGTCTTCTTCGCTTCGTTCAGCATCAAAATATGTGACTCGCTGGCGTTTGTTATTTCGTCTGCTTAATCGTCGTCCTGAGTCGTTCGTGTTTAATGTGAAACGTTGCGTATGCTTTCGATTTGTTCTCAATTCTTTCAAATTTGAGTTCTTTGCTTCCTCAACTTTCTTCATAAACTTTTCAATGAGATCTGGACAGCTGAGATTTTTTTCAGGTTCCCATGTGTCGTAGTCTGTGCTCCAACGCTTCCAGTGGACTAGGAATTCTCTATTGACGGAAATGAATTAAAATTAGGAACTATAAGTTTGAGTTTAAGCATGTAAATAACATACTGAATGGCTGGAGGACATAATTTGCTATAACATGCTTCAACTAAGATCTATTAAAACCTACCTTGATCCATCTTTCTTCATTCGCATTTCTACGATCCGTTCAACCTCATATTCCTCTTCGCTGCCTTCATCATAAGGTGGTTCGTCTTCATCATCTCCGTCTGAATCGCTAACAGACCCACCTCGTTTTTTAGTGGCTTTAGGTTTCCTACCTGCCTTACCCTTTCCTGATAATATTTTCTTAGGGACTTCAACACTGTGCTTAATGTTGTACATTTCAAGGATATCAGGACATGATAATGATTCATAAGTTTCCCATGTATCGTGGATTGGCTCATAGTTCTTCCAACGGATTTTGTACATCAATTTGCCATTATAAAGGCGATGTCCAACAATATTTTCGACCTAAAGTAATATGATTTATTTTTAATTAAGTTTTGACATAAAATATTGAATTTTACCTCATATTCCTCCTCAACCTTATCGTTCTTAGCTGATGGAACTAGAGCAAATGATACACGTCCTTTCTTTTTCGTTCCTTTTTTATCTTTTTTCTTTTCCTTGGTTTTATTTGGCGATTTTTTTGCCTTTTTTGCTGGTGACGCCGACTTTTTATTTTTCTTAGCTAGTGGCTCATCGTCGCTAGTTCCTTCATTCCCATCATTTTCATTCTCGTTGTCTTTTGCACTTTCGAAACTTTCTTCTGATTCAGACATGGCTTATTGTCAAAACAAACTATTAAGTTATTTATCAATAATAACAATTCTGTTTTTTTCGTTCCTTGAAAAAATATGGTTTGGAAGTAACTTGAATGACGTGTGCCTTAAAGCGCTTCTCACTGTCTGTTCCAAGAAAAAATTCTTAATTTTAATGTTTCTACTTGGAATTATAGTACTTTGATTGTAAATAGTAGACTCGCTGTTTAGATTTAAATATTAATGTTGTCAGCAATGCTACTAGGCACAAAAATAAGCATGCTACAAAAACAAATCAGTCCAAACAGACAAATTGTGCTTAATTGCTCATGTTTCCCGCAAAAATGCTCGGCATAAAAATTCAAGATGGCGAATTCAAATATATTTTGACAGTTATTTCTACGATCTAGAGAACATCAAATTGTTATTTTTGTGCTGTTCACTATTATTTGTAACGTACAAGAGTCATGTTGATTGGATATTGCGAAAAGCAAAGTCTGTTGCATTCTCTCAGCTGTATTGCTTGCTTAAGCGAAATTCGAGAGTCACAGTTGATTCCAAACTCAGAATTTATAAATCTTTAATAAGACCAGTCGTCGCTTATGGATGTAGCATTTTCATTAATTGTGCAGCTTCACGCTTAAACAAAATGCAAATTTTCCAAAATAAAGTTTTGAGATACGTTCTTGATATCAATTGGGATGATTTCGTCTCAAATCTTGTAGTTCATAGTCGAGCAAAGATTCCATTCATGGCTGATTTCTTAAATAAACTTACAGTCAACTTCTATCATAGAATTGACAGTCATAAGAACACGTTGATCAATAATCTTGGAAAATACGACTACTCTCATCTTGAATATCGACTTAAACACAAACTTCCAAGACCTGTAACATTACTGTAAAAGTTATGGGTATCATTATTTAGTTTCCAAGTGGTTCTTCTAACTACTTTAAATGTTTTTTATACTTACCTCAGTACTTATTTACTTCTTTTTTTATATAAAATTTTCCTTACGTTGGGTTGTTTTTTCAATTTTTTAGCCCACATAAACAATTGACTCATTTAACTTATAAACTTCACATTATCTACATAAACTCTCATGCTTTAATAATGAGTTAAAACCGCAAAGGTTGGTATCATTAATGTTAACTGCAATTTTTGTAAAAAAATCAAATCTACCGAAGTTCATTACAATAAAGACAAACTTTCTTCTTCACTATTATTTGACTCTGTCATATAACAGCAGACTTACTTCCTCAACTGAAATTCTACATACCAAAAAAGCCAGTTTTTACTCAAGTTTCCTCTATTAATTCAATTTTTCATTCTTTAAATACATTTAATAATTTTTTTGTATGCTTATAATCCAGACTGTACACCAAAGCCTGGACCTGGAGGTTCTGTTGTTAATGAAGTCAATCCAGCTGCTGGTTCTGAAGCAAAACGCCCATTACGTGGACCTGCTTTTGGTTGCTGTCCTTTAGCCAAGCTGTCTAGAATTTCCTCTGTATCTTTGACAGACAAATCTTCCTGTAATTCGATAATTTGGATATATAGGATTTATGTCAATCAATCGTACAAGATCTACTCACATAATAATCATCGTTAACAGCAATCATTGGAGCATTAACACAAGCACCTAAGCATTCAACTTCAGAAATTGTGAATTTCATGTCTTTGGTAGTCTCTCCAACGCCAATTCCTAATTTCCTCTTGCATGCATCAAGAATCTCATCAGATCCTTTAAGCCAACATGGAGTTGTTGTACAAACCTGAACATGATAAGTTCCAGTTGGTTTTCTTAAAAACATTGTATAGAAAGTAGCTACTTCGTACACACGCATATTTGGTAATCCAAGAACTTCTGCTACTTTATGCATAGCTGAAATTGGTAACCATCCTACTTGACGTTGAGCTAGATCCAGTAATGGAATCATAGCACCTCTTTTATGTCCTTCTGGATAATTATTAAGGATAGCTTTTATGCGTCTCTTGTTTTCTTCATCGAACTCAAATGGGATGTTTGGATTATCTTCCGGTGTATCACGATGGACGAAAAGATTGTCACTAAGATTTGTTGCACTTTTACTGATGCATCGAATGTTTCGAGCCTTAAAGAAATTTTTTTAATATTTTTGTTTTTATATAACTCAACTTTTTTGCAAATTAAGCATGAAATGTCGGGATTTTGATCCTTATTTGTCCAGGAACTGATAATGATACTTACAATGCTCGGAAACAACAGTTTAGATCGTGACAACATCCTTTATTTTGCCTGAAAACCGACGATCAATGCAAAATTTTAATAGACGAAACACCCTTGTGAAAAATTTGAATAAAACTGAATTTAAATATTTTTTTACCGTTAAAATTAATGAATGTGTCTTGGCTAAAATTTGTGTCTTGGTTTGAATTTATTTGGATCGTTAATATTAATTTAAAATTTAAATTGACAGTTGAAGCGCTATAGAACGTGTTAAAGTGTACAGAATTGCTTTAATCAAGTCACAAGCATCGCTCTCGACAACTGTTAACACTTGATGAAAAACAAAAGCAGAAATAAAACAAAAGCTGGAAATTATTCATTAGCTATTATTACCTTTGTGGTCACGCTTCACTCCCAATAGAACTAACCGAGCAAAGAAAGAGTGATGAAGCCCAAACAATTGACATCACAAAAGAGTGATGAATGAAAAATTGTAGAATGAAAGCATGTGCGAGATATGATTCAATGGATAAAGTTTTTTGTTGAGCAAATGAGGTCAGCACTAGGCAGGGAGCATGCAATATTTATGAGCATAAAAAGCTACTTTATATGCTAATAAGTATGATATGTGTCATAAAAAGAAAATGAGTGGAAAACTTTAAATATTAAGTGGGAAAAAAATTGTATCGTTGATAGTGCACAACGTTGTTTTATGGCTTCCGATTTAGAATGTTGCTGGGCGATTGCAACATTCATTTTTGGTAAGTATTCTTAAACTTTAGAAAATCTCATAAATGATAAGTTTTCAAAATTTTAAATTTCTACCGTCTTTCAAAAAATCAAATTTTACAGGTTTCAAAAATTCAAATTTTAATGATTTTCAAAAAATTCTAATTCTACTCCTTTTAAAAATTCAAATTTTTAAACTGTTTTCAACGGTTTTTATAATCACAAACTTGCTGTCCTCAATAAAGTTTGCACTAATGAGAGCACAACACACATTTTTAGTAAATTTTTTACATGGCAACGGCAAAAATTGACATAAAAATCGAAAACTTAATTTCCTGTAAAGAAATAACTCGAACACAATTTGGAAAAATGGAAATAAAAAAGAAAAGAATGGGAAAAAGAGATAAAAGAAAAATTTCACTGACGATAAATTTTTTTCTTCCTTCTTTTTTTTTTGGTTGAAACATTGAAATTCAAACCTAAAAGAAGAGGAGACGCAAAGAAAATAGAATGAAAGAAAGATCATTTGCTTAAAGCCATAATTTCCTTTCCGCTTCTTTATTGTGTCGAGATTTATTCCATTCAATAGATATTTCTCTCTTTTTGCTGCTCATTTCAATGTTTGTGGATGTGTATAGGAGGACAGGAAAAAGGACGAACAGAGAAATTATTCTATAGGCAATGGAATCGATAGAATAATGTACTTAAAAACCAATTTATGAGTATTTGTTCTTATATGCTGTAAGGAAAACATTGAATAAAGAAACACACACAGGAGCTTTTTATCTTCTTTTCTCCCCGTACCAATAATGCACACGAACTACATTTAACGGACGTTGATTAGGTATTCTAGACACAACCTTAATATTTCTTTTTCTTCACTCGACATTCAACTTGCTCTCTGTTTTATTGTCTTTTGTGAACTTATGCTCCTTCACGATAAGGGGCCGTTCACTTATTACGTTACGCAAAAAAACGACTTTTTTCACCCCCTCCCCCTCCCCCCTTGTTACAATATGTTACAACTCACAACCCCCCCCCCCCCTGAACGTTCATAATTTATTTTTTTAAAAGACAGGCGACTTTTTTCACCCCCCCCCCCTTTCCCCCCTTGTTACAATATGTTACAAAACTCACAACCCCCCCCCCCCCCCTGAACGTTCATAATTTATTTTTTTAAAAGACAGGCGACAGTTAGAATGTTATCCTTTGTTACAATTTTTCAACCCCCCCCCCCCCCCCCCCCCCCCCCCCTAAAATGCGAACGTAATAAGTGAACGGCCCCTTATCATGAAGGAGCATAAGTATATTGAGAAGAAAAAGTTAATTTATTGCTGATAAGGCATGTAACTAGTACAATTTACATTTTGGAAGTTAACTGTAATTTGAATTTTAAAGTTTCTAAAGAGTGTGAAACTATGATTTTTTTAAATTGAGTTTTGAATCGAATTCTTAATTTTAATGAATTTCAGACTCAAGTGGGATATGAAACTATGCTTATATGCATGATATCGAATGAATCCCTATCAGAACGACATATTAAGAAAATCAAAGAATTCAAATTAAATTTCAAATTTTAACAATTTTGGCGCCAAAAATCTTATTCATGATCATCCTTAAAACTTAAAGGAACAAAAATGACAAAAATCTTTTATAAAAAGTCATTAGACGCATGTAAATTGTGCTAATAACTTCAATATAACAGCGATAAAGGACCAAAATGAAAACTTTAAAGCAATTTAACTATTTAAAGATTCTCAAAAAGCTATTCATAAGATTCAAGCGTACAGAAGTAGTACAAAATCAACACAATCTTCCCCAAAACGTAATGAAAATTCCTAAAATTCACTGAAGTGAATGAAAAAAGAATTGCGAAAACCGCAAAGAAGCTTTTAAATTTAAATTGCACCACGACACACCAGAAAGAGCGGAAATAATGAAGAACAGAAATTATCTTTAACAAAATGCCACGAATGTAAAGGATGTGAATTTCATGGTGCTTAAAGATTATCGGGACACGAAACTTGAGCAATTCATTGCCAGTCAATAATTTAACTTTAATTGAGTTACGTCACGTTTGAATGAAAGTGGCGTCAAAATAGATAATTTCGGTAACCACAAAGTTTTCATTCATAAACAACCACGATAAACTCATTAATGAGTTATTACATCAAAATTAATTGAATGAATTCATTAAGGCACTGCCTTTGTCAACACATGGGCAAGCAAGGTATAAAAAGTAACTTGTTTTTATCGCTCGATGTTATTATTCTTGTTTCTAAAGAACCCTCAAAACTCATCGACGAGTAAAAGAAGAAAAATTTGATTAAATTAGTGGAAAAGGCACACAAAAAAATAAATTTGAGTCACAAACAAACAGAATGAAAGCTTTTATACCAATAAATCTGCAAAATAAACTGCCATCGATTTCTATTTATGTGAGAAGATTGGCAGCTTTTAATGATTGCTCATTCTACCTCCAACCACATCATCATCATCATCTCCCCTCTTCTTAGTCGTCGTTTTTTGTGTTATTATGCCTGAAATCTAAAATTGAAAGAGCCTTTAACCGCGTAATTAATGTGAAACTTTTGGTGGTTCTTTCTTATTTTGGATAGCTTTGAGAGAAAATTAAGAAGTCTAACATAAAAATTAAAATATCAGAACCTCCCTCCTTATGCTTCTTTGAGACTTGACGCTATTCGCTTGATGCTTGTCGTAAAAGTTAAGTTTTTCGATGCCCAAATAGAACAAACAGAACGAAGAAATGGAAAATAATGAAAATTGGGTGTAAAGAAAAAAGTTTTTAATGACTTTGAGTGCTTTTAATTAGGTCAGAAAAATATCTGTAGAAAGAATATGATGAAGTTATTGCTATTCTGCATCAGAAGTGAGTTTGCTTGCTTACTTGAAGAATGCCAAAAATATTAAATATTATTCAGACATTTGCTTGCGGCATTTTTAAATTGATATTGAAAGGATGTGCTCTGTGGGATTAAGATTTGATTTGTTGATAGATGCTCGTGAAATGGAAGGTATTTCAAAATTATATTAAGCTTGGAAGTAATTTTAACGGATTTTTCAAATTCAAATTTATTTTCTAAAACCATACAATTCCAAATTTTAGAGCATTGTTACAAAACATTTGATTTGAATTCTTAATTATCGTTAAGAATTCAATTTTTTAATTTCAAGCATGACTTATCTCAAATTTCCAAACAAAAGACACAAGCCAGTTTAAAAGTTCTATCAAAATGTCATCCGACTCTACTCAAATTCCAAGAACCCAAAAAAGAAAAGTATCTCAACAATGTTTGTTCCAATAAACTCCAACAATTTATTTTCTTGTTATTTATCATCATCAAACGACATAAAGCATTTAATGGAATGTAATTTTATTTAACAAAGTCTTAAACAATAAGAAATGAAAATCTTCGCATTCCTCTTTCCTCGTCAACAAACTCAATCGCTTTCTTGTTCGTTTGCTGTTGTTGTGAACATGTTCAATTTAAAAAGGATGATAGGATCTCTAATAAACCAAAAGCAAATACTTTATTCGTTTAGAAGTAATGTACAATAGAAATGTATCCCCTATTTCTGTGAACTTATAATCTTTTTGTTTTTTTTAAAATAAATCTACGATTGACTTACTCAAGTGCTAGTGCGGAGGGGTAGGATACACTCCTCCACACTCTCTACAACATAAAAAGTTAATAAATATTTAAAAAGCTTTTTTATACGTCACTAAAAAAGCCAAGAACTTGATGATGGATGAATTGACTTTTATGTACCTCTGGGAATTTGTAAGTCGATATCCTAATGGAAAATAGGTCACAAATCAGGCTGCATTGCGTTCATCGTGCCTGACATTTTGACGAGAAATTTTCATAATGCTGTTGAATGTGAAATTGAAGAAATGGAAGCAATAGCTCAAGCATTCCCTGAGTAAAAAAGAATCTGATATGATGTTGAAAATGATATGGCATACTGAAGGTTTTGAAGGATATTCTTTATTGCGTTGGATATTAAAAATGTTTGTATCAAAATTAACGACTAGAAATTTTTTAAAAAAACCGGTTAAAAAATATTTGAAAATTCATTTGTCAAAAAATGTTTGAAAATTTAACGGTTTTTTACTAAATTCAGTTCCTCATACTTACCTCCATCTAACTTCCAAAAACTCAATCGTAGATTCAACATGAAATTAATTCTTACCTGTAAATTGGGAATTTAAAACCCAATAAGCGTCAGCATCTTCTATTAATTACATGAATGACGCAAAAGCATCGCTTCCTCTTCACTTGACCACGTTAAAAAAATCAGCAAATTCATTCCTATAGCCTCAAAATTTAAGAGAAAAAACCGTTCTGTAGAGCACAAAAAGCATCTTGCCAAACAGTTTAGCAAATTGTAAAAAAATGTATGAAATTTCTCCTCAGACTACATCAAGGATAAGGATGTAAGATAAGGGTACGAAATCTAAAAACGGCTTCAATGCTTTCAATGTATTTTTAACAATTTTCACATTCTTATCACCTTTTCATGATGCACGTCTGTAAAATAAACAGTAAATATCTGTTTTCAGCCTCTGTACCCACACATAATCCAGAAAGATTTAAACTTTTATTTTTGTGTAAAAACAATTTTTTTGATTTTTTTTTATTTATTTTATCCTTTTTTTCATTTTTGAAATGTGCCATAAATCGTTTTTATAAATCTTAAATTTAGAATTTTACAAATTGCATCAAAAATGGTAAAAATAAAATTAAACAAAAATAGAGCTGAAGAGGCTTAAGTAAATGGAAGTAAGCGTCATTTTCAAATCCTTGATGGAAAGTGTTTCATGTTGTGGATTTTATGGATAGCTTAAGAGCTTTTAACTATCTTTAAATTGATTTTTAAAAAAACAAAAATAGTTTGATTCTGTGCTTTATTAATGCTGTTAACAGTGTTGGTTTTCAGGTGGTCAGTGGGGTAGTCAATAATAAGTGTCGTATATAAATGGTCAGGATAAAAGGGGTTCTGAAGCAAGTGAAAGTAAGAATAAATCTGCAATCTCAACCCCTCAACTACAGCAGTCTAAATGAATAAAATGTCATGGCTTTCAGCACAAAGCTATGCAAATAAGAAACTGAAGTATGAGACTTGTTATAAAGACGTCATTCAGAAATAAATGTTATTATTATTTTCCTGAGAGAAATTTATATGCTAGAAGTAGTGCTTTGAAATTAAATAGAGAAACTTAATATAATTGAAACTGAATGAATGAAAAAGAGCTTTAAGGCTGTGAGGTTTCCTGAATTAAAGAAGAACTTTTTCAAAATAATTGTAATTTAATTTTAGGGATTGGTGACCTTCCAGCATTATTAAGCGGAGTCCAGCAAAAATGTTTTAATTCATGTAAAAGTTTAAAAACCCTATAAATTTGATCAAAACCTCACAAATGTTTTGATTAATGTTCGAATTTGAACGGTTTTCAAAAATTTAAACAAGTTTATAACTGAATTTTTAAAAACCTTACAAATGTTTCAAAAACTATACAAATGTTTGTTCAGAAATTGTAGGGTTTTGGAAAAATTTTAAAACATTTTAAGTTCGTTAAAGACTCGAAAGTTTAGCCAAAATGCAAATCTAAAAGACAAAAGCTTTCGAAATTGTAAGCCAAAGTTGCAAGAAAAGCAAATGACTGATCGCAACTTTTATTCAAGAAGTTGTTTGCTTATGTATCAAAAAGGATTAAAAATGCCAGACACATCAACAATTTCAATCACCAACTTTAATTCACCAACTTCGATGTCCATCAAATAGCAAAGATAATAAAAGACAAAGAGAATCTATCGACAATCTCAACAAAAGAATCTCCAAGGATTTGATAATGCAAGCTTTTTCCCATCCAATTAAGCGCACCTCAACTATTCAACATGTATCATCTAAGAAAGAAAAAAAAAACTTTTATCTTTCCAAACTAAATAACTTGATTTAAAATTTTATTTTTCTCTCTCTGTTCCTTAAAAACTACGAGAACACAAATAACAACTTTTTTTTTGCAGATATGCAAGTGGAAAATATAAGGAAGGAGCAGCTCTTTAAAAAAAACTCTTGAATCTCTTAATTTCATCTATAAATCGATTTTTATCGTTTCATCTCTTCCTTCTTATAAGCATCATGAGTTCGATGTGAAGGAAGGAAAAATGAAATGAAATTTATTGAAACTAATTGAATATCATCTGCAATATTAATCTAGCATGTGAAAGATAAACATTGAATATCATCGTTAAATTAAGTTTCATATGAATGGGAGCAGTTCCGTGAATGTGAACCGAAAGGATGAGAAAAAAGAAGGAAAATTTAAGAAAATTCAATAAATGTGGAATGTTACATGCAATTCAATCTGATTAGCTGGATTTTTGGGATAACAGTTGAGCTGTTTGGAGTCAGTTTGGATCTTGTGATGGGCTATCATTGAAGATGTTGTAGTCCATAGCTTTTCAGATTCAATATCAACTTTAAAAACCTTAATAATCACCAATATATCTCCAACCAGTTTCAAAAAAATCCTCTTTTAAAGCAACCTGCGCTTTATCTTTAATCGCACTTCCTGATAACTTCCCATACTCATTTATCTCATGTCGAAATCGTACGTAGATCTAATAGATAGAAAGACAAAAAGGAAGAATCGTCTATGTATGGCAATATTCTAAAGTCTGCTTTATTTTTGGCTCATTGCTTGGATGGAAATAATTGATTTGGTCATGAAGCTAACATTCATTCTCCTATTTCTTTTTTTTTGGTATAATACTTTCATAAATGTGAACAGTGAGTACAAAAATCCACAAACCGTAAACTTTAAATGAATTTCTTTCGACACAGCACATTTTATGTTGTGTAGCACATCACTACTGATGTATGATGCTGTCTTCCTTTTCCTTTTTATTTGTGTTGTGTGTTATTGCACGTAAGAAAAATGTACATACTGAATGGATGATTCTGAGCGGTTTTATCAGTTTACGACAATAAATGAATCATAACTGCAGAATTATTATTACAAAGGAACAAATTTGGGGACCGTTTATAAGTAATGTCACAATAATCAAACAAATTTTGACTTTGTGATTTATCTAGGAACTTCAGCATGTTATTGTCGCAGGAAATCAGATTTCGAATCAAGTAACAAATCATAAACATGAAATTTGAACTTAAAACTTTAAACTGTTTTGTATAAAAAACTTTAAGTAAGTACAAAACCATCCAAATTAAGTAAAGTAAAGAACGTAATGATAATCGATAAAACCGCTCTTTTCACCGACTTGCTACCGACCCAGTAAAAAATGCCAATTTCTTCTATTGCGATGTAATTTTCCTTTATTTTTTATTCTTTTTTCACTTACATACTATTTTTAAGAAGAATAAAAGAAATAAAGGAGGGAAAATTGAAGGAAACGGTTTTTGCCTTTTCTCTCCTTTTTCCTTCTTTCATACTCTCTTAAAAACGATGAGTGAATGCTCCATAAATCACAAAAAATCGATAAGAGACGAAATTTCACACAGTGCGTACGTGAGCTTTTCAGATGATTATCAGACTTTTGTTATAATGTTTATTTAGCGCATTTTTGAAAAACTAGCTTAATAATGTGCTTTGTTCGAGTTTCATCGAGTTATTAATCATGTACGTTATGAAACAAACACACACATAATCATTAAAAAATACGGCATTTAATAAGTTTAAAAACAATTTAATAGTATGTTAATGCTATGATTTGTTCCTTGATTGACATTAACTTGCTAATAAAATTACTGATCGCAGCGACAAAAATGCGCTGAAGTCACTCGATTAATCACGAGGACTCTTGTAATATTTTGTTTTTATTATAAAGTAGTAAATTTGTTCTATATAAAACAATAATTTTTTTGCCTACTATTGATGCTTATGTCTTATCCTTCCTTCAGTTATGTGAGAATGATTATTAGTCAATTTTTCTAGCTACTGTTATACTCAACGATCCACGAATTATTCGCATCATATCTATTATTTCTTGTGTACTGTGGGAATCTACGATTTCATCATTAATCTATGTGAGAGAACAGAGTAAATAAAGTAAGTAAGATTACAGCTTTAACAATTTAAAGAATTACCATCAGAACCCGATCGCCGACCCTCAGTCGTCCATCTTTCTCAGCTAATGTATCTTTGCAAATCTCCTTAATTACTGTAATTGACTTGCCTCCCTCATCACAACCATCATTAGAAATCAACTGTTGACTTTCAAGACGAATTCCCAAACGACAGCTCCATCGACGATTCATTTCGATTGTAATTATCTGTTGAGTAAGGGGAAGGGATTGAAGTTGAAACAATTTAATGAGAAAAGGGAAAATAAAAGTTCTGAATTGAAACTGAGTGGATGGAGGTGTTAGGGAGCATTGGATTCATTTATGGAATCAGAAGTTCTTACTAAATCATGAAACCAGACAAATTATTCGGAAAACCTTACAAATTACAAAAATAAACTGTTGTAGTGTTCTAAAAAAATTGTATGGCTTTGGAGCTCATAAAATATTCGAAACCATTCAAATGTTTGTTTGTTGCTATTGTAAGGTTCTACATTTTTTTTAAAAAAAAAATAATTTTTTTAACGATCTTTTAAGCCCAAACTCAAGCAAAAATCAATTCAAATGCAAATCTTATTAAGTCTTCTTTTTCGAAAGACGAAAAGAAAAATTGAATTTGTACATGTTATTGCCAAACTGTCTGTTCATTCAACAAATTAGACAAATCGCTAAAATGGATTTATGAGAATGAAAAACAAACATATGTCCTATAACGCGAGTCCGTTCATGCTAAATGAAGGTCGAGAATAATTGATTAAATTTTCGCATCTCTCTTGTCTTATTCGCACACAGTACAGTACAGCACAGCAACAATAAGAGCGAAAAGGAATTATTCTTACCCTGTTTATATTACTATCGATACCCATTTCATCAAGATGTATATCTTTTTGAGCATTTCTTATTGATACACGCAATGTATTTGTAGCTATGGGCATGTCTCCACATTGCGAGGATATTATTGAACATTTGTCATCGTCATTGTCAATATTTGGTTCATTTTGTTGCTGTTGTGATGGCATTGTGACACCTTTCCATTTTAGTAGATTCATTTCAGCATTTATGTCATCTGGATGTGCCTTATGATTTATTTGAACTTGCGCCGATTGATATAACGGTTGATTCTTGTTAAATTTCGTGACATAAAGGCATGTATCAGTGTCATTAAGTGGAGATTTACGCAAATCATTTTCAGTCTTGCAGGCAAGGAGTAATGTCTCGCACGGTAAGCTCGTAAACGACATTGCATGTCCATCAATTGTATCATCACTGTCGTTATTATCCATACGATATGTTGTGGTTGGTGCATCCAGTACAGAATCTAAATTATTTAATTCATATGCATTTGTTGTTGCAATTGAAAATTTATATAAAGGCTTACGTGATGCAAGCGGCGTGGAACCAGAATCACCGGTATGTCCACATCTCCTTATATTAAGTGATTCGGGACGTTTAATTTTGTTGATATCCGATGATGAACATTCATTATCATGCTCTAAACTCTCCAATTCATCACTGTCATAAAATCCATCATTTGTCTCATCGTCGTCTGCCGGCAATTCGTGTGGATCATAATATTGTACTCGCTGCTGTGAAATGATTGTTAATGTATCAGCAGATGAATCTGAGAATGGTGTATGAGTTCCACTGCTTGTACCACCACCAATAGCACAAGCATTATCAGATGATGATAAAGTATAAGTTTGATTTATATTTGTCGATATGTTTGATGATGAATCACACAAATTATCTGTGTCATATGCCAACGCTCCACATTTATTCTTTCTAAGACGTCTTGGCGATGACATCGTATTGGTTGATGATTGAAATGATGACGAATTTTCCGAATTTCCATCTGACGATGATAGAGTGTTTTTCTTTGTTGCCAAATCAGATATAAGCGATATTGCTTCCGGACGTAATTTTGAACGTTTCATTGTTCCATTGCTCTCATGATGTGCTTTATAATTTGAATCTGTCGGTGATATTGCATCATTTCCATCATAAAATCGATATAATCGAAGTCTAACAGTATCTTGTGACTGTCGTAAAAATATCACAGCTTGCTCGTGTGTCATGTTACTTATTGGAATATCATTCACTGCTAGAATCTTATCACCTGCTTGTATACGTCCATCTGATGTTGCTGGCTCACGAACTAATGCTCTCACAAAATGTCCATTTATGGATTCATCCTCCTTTTGTAATGTAAAACCTAACGATCCCTGCTGCTTAACGAGCGTTATTTCGAATTCCTGTGTAGACAAAAGGATAGAATGAGTATGATTTTATAGTTTTGCTTGCTATTTATAGTTTTTGTGTTTATAGTTTTAAAGTCTTAAAGCTATGCCAATCAAGTATTTTGTATTCTCTCATTAACTTTAGCTTCTCATTTCAGACAGAAAGAGGCGTAATAAAAGAATCGCATATAAATGACATTAACAAGCAAGAAAAAAGGATCGCAAATCCATAAAAAAAAATTTGTCATCGTCATCATCACACACTTTTAGCAGTAGAATTACAAATAAAGGTGCTGCTGATGATGATGGGAATAAAATAAGGCAAGAAAAATTCTTACCCCTGGTGATAACTCAAGCTGATTCATGTACTGTTGATGCTTCATGTTAAAAGATGAACGAAGAGGAGGAACTGGCACTTCTAGATTTGTCGTTGACAATTTACGGAAATTTTCATCATGTGGTCTACATACTAGTAAATTTACAACATTTCCCATCGTTCGCAGCACTTCAAGTGCCTCCTAAATAAACAGACAGGGAGGAAAATGAAGAAAAAAATATAAAAAATTAGAATTTTTGAGATAAAAAAGTTATGAAATGAACAATTCTTTTATCCAAATTTGTTGAACAATAAAATTTTAATTGTTTTTGATATAATATGTATAACATGAGACTGTTTGCGGTGTTCGAAGTTTCAAGTGAACATGGAATGGAATGCTTTACACTTCAGATGAGTTTTTAAATACACTTCTCAGCATTTTTGACAGCTTGTATTGTGCTTTTTATATTTTTTATTTTGGTTGAAGAATGACTTCATTAAATTTGAAAATTAAATTACTTTTGAGATTTTAAAAATAACGGTTGTCAAAATTTTGAAATTTCGCGTCATTTTGAGATTCAAATTTTTGAAAACCGTTGGTCTTTAAATTTTAAAAAGTCGTAAATTCTTAATTGCGAAAGTTGAAAATTTTAACATCGTCAATAATTAATAGCAGCAACTGAAAATTTAATCAGCAGCTCCAAAAATTGAAACTTACTATTGGAAATAAAATTTGATCAAAAATGTATCCTTTTTCATAATGGAAGTTGAGGTAACAACAAAGTGAAAATTTTTAATGAGTTTTCGTCACACGAACTCTATTTTGACTAGATTGCACGTAGAACGAATGCTAAAAGCTTTTTTATTACGTTGTGCAAGCTGTTTGAATTTGACTCTCGAAATAAAGTTTCTGGGAAGCTTTTAGAAAAATTTTTCAATATGTAGCTACAATCCTAGATAATTTAATAATATACAAATTTACAGGAACACGAATGAATAAATTCTGCGTTAAACAGGAATGAGAATTTTAAATTCATAAATTTTTAATAAACCGCAGCGACATGTGCCGTCGTCATGCAACCAAAAAGGAAACAACACTTCTTCCACGTATGAGCATAATATATGGATATACGGATATGAGCTCTTGTTTTCACAATCTCATCCTTTTTTTATTCGAAAAGAGCATTCGCATTCGTCTAATCGGAAAAAGGAAACCTTTTCACTATAAGTTCAATTTATTCATGACACACGAAAATAAAGCTCATGTTCACATCCATAAAAAAAAAAGTAAATCTCAATAAATGCAAGCACACACATCATAAAAGAAGCTCGCATTGTAAAACTTTACGATTTATCAAAAATGAAAGAAAAAGATATGCCTGCGGAAATTTAATTCATACGTTCACTGATATTTACGATCAGCTATGTAGCTTATGAAAATGAAAAGAATATAAAAAAAGTTTGAAAATTGCTTTATATGGACTTTGTGCTTTGTTAAATGACGACAGAAAAATTCTGTGCATATAAATCAAACAAAAATGTTTAGACACATACAGTTAGCATAGATGAGCTAAGTGGTGATAAAGGAAGCGCAATTTACTTGATTTAATATCATTTTAAGAATTAACGGTCGAATAAAATTTGAATTGGGTCAATAATTTAAAAGAAAAAACGTTAGGAATAATTGAACAAAACCGGTTTCACTGGAAGTAAGCCTTAAAAATAATGAAGATGCAGTCGACAGCATCAAGCAAATCGCGCTAAAAATTATTATTATCATGGAAGAAGAAAAAGTTTTACTTACATTATTTGTCAGTCCAGTTAATATAATACCATTAGCTTCGAGTAGAACATCACCTAAGATAAAATAAAAGCAATAATATAAAAGTTTGTTTTCAGCTTGAACAAGCACAGAGCTCAGTGCACAGTGGGGAGTAAATGAATGGATGTAGAGTTATTATTATCAACTTCCATTGCTTGCATCATATCAATTTACCTTGTTGAAGTTGTCCAGTCATCCACTGCAATAAAAACATGTAAAAGAAGATTATAAAGGTGGAAGTGACTTGGAAAAATGTTATAACTTACAGCAGCTTGATGAGGGAATAATCGTTTAATTCGTATAAGTCCGGGATATGGATCAGATGAGTCGATTCCTCCTGACACAGACAATCCGAGTCCTCCCAATCCTTTCACTATCTCTACATTAAATGTGCAGTCTGAAAACAAAAAAGATGATATTATGAATTGAACATGTACAATAGATCATTAAAAATTTAAGGAATCAATAACTGACGACAGAGCATATTTTGCGGATATTTTTCTTAAAGTTGAGCGTTCATTCTGCCAAAAAAAAGTTATTCTAATTTCGCATTAACATTCATAATGCTAATAGGAAAAGCCTCTGTACGAGAATAGAGGCTTAATATTTCAGCAAACATGACATTTATATAATTACGTAATTTTGCGGCATTTACTTGCTAATTCTTAAGGAAACCTTTATAAATTTGAGTTACTAAGAAAACTTTCATTCAGAAAAATCAATCTTGTGTCAGCAATTGACAGTTGATTGACATATTGTTTTAGGTTTAAATCATTTGTTGGATGATTGAGGTGATTTAATGTTTTAACTGAGATGACAAAATTTTGAGTGTTTTTTGAACTTTTGAACACTAAATTTGAATTTTTAATGACCGTTAAAATCACAAATCCTAAATCTTAGTTCAATTAAAACTTTGATGTACAATTTACAACCTTTTTATCTCATAATTTGTGATGTTCATCGCTAATTCCATAAAGTAAACATTAACATCACACATCAAGTTTATTTGCAAAATAAAATTTCACACCTACAGCAATTAACTTCAAAATTCAACACATTTATGAGCATCATTGTGGTACTTAAAACTTTTTATGCAGTACTCTTACTATTCTCAAAGTACTTGTAAAAAATATTTACGATGAAATCATTCGAAACAACGCTTTAACGCTCTCAAAGTACTTCCAGAGAATTTAATACTTGGTTTATGAACAAATCCCTAAAGAGCTTTAAACATTTCTCGGCACTTCATATTAGAACCGTAATGCAGGCAGAAAATAATAGATTTTTAAGAAAGAAAACGGAAGAGAAAGTTATCATTTTCAATCTTTAAAGGTTAATTCTCTTATGACGTCTAACATAGAGGCATGAGCTGTTTTAAGCTTCGAAAAATTTCATTTTTAAAACGTCAGCTGCAGGAAATAACAGTCAATTGAAATTATTTCATCTTAGTAAGATGCTAAAATTGACTGAAAATCCAGCATTTAATGCACATCATTTGTTGAGGATTTTTCAAATCAATAAGAAAACTTTCTCACTTTTTTGTTGTTCCTGAACGAGAAATAAAATGCCAAAAAATATAAAACAGAGCAAAAAGAGGAGAAAAGTTGAAAAGATTAGGCAGGAATAAAATATTCACCACCATATTCCTTTCTCTCCGTACACATTATATCTTTAAAAGCATGAAGAGTAATCCTTTAGAATAAAAAGAAAATCCTGAGATATATATAAAAAGTGATGTGTGTAACATAAAGCATAATGATGATTCTCTTAAAATATTCAAAAGCCTTTTTTTGTCTTCATTCCGACATTATGTTTAAAGAAAATAATATTTCTTCTCTTAATGATCCTGTACGTGGTTCGTTATGTTTGAATTATAAAAAAACTTGTAATTTAGCATGGACATTTTATGGCATTTACGAGGTTTTCACACTTATGGAGCAACTAATTTCCCCACGCTGACAAAAAGTTTTCTTTGGGCAACTAGGGTCATTCATCAATAACGTCTGTTAAAATTTTGAATTTTAAGAACTTTCCGAGACGAAAGAATTTTTTTGAATTTTAGATAACCGTTATTTTTTAAATTTTTTTAAACATCATAATTTCACATCCCCATCAGTGCTCCCAAAAAGGTTGAAAAGTTTTCATTTGTTTTCTTATTCGAAAGATTTAGCTTGTTTCTATAGAGCACACAGATTCTGTGTAATACTGTTTAATTTAAAGACTTTCATATTTTGTTTACGACTCTTTAAACTTCACATCTTATTTCCAGGAAAAATTCATCAAGTCGAATAAACCCTTATATTTTTGATTTTAATGATGGATGTGGGAGATGTGTTTAGTCTTAAACTTTCAGTTAAGACATAAATTGAGGAGATTTTGTGTTCATTTAAGGAATATTAAGTTCACATAAATCCGAAACATTAACAGAGCACAATCCAGACTCCATTTGCATAAAAAATCTACAAAATAAGCTTAACTTCATCCAACTCAATTAATTTCATAAATTAGCATCCGCAACAATCATAGAAATACAAATTTTCGTCCTCAGCATCTAACCACATCCGTATCTCATAACCTGACAAATTTCATAACAAGGATACAAGTTTAATTGAAAAGCATACAGAGAAAACAACCTCAAATCCAGACTTACAGACTGACAAATGAATGCTTTCACAAACAAGCATATAAATTAAAAATTTACAGCAATGATTTTTTTTTTCCTGGTCAGTGAATAAATTGCTTTCCCTTAATTCACATAAGGGACATTCTGACAATATTAAGCTTTAAACGTGAGCAATTCCTAGAATTTATTGCATTCATTTAGCATTGAAGTCGAGTAAATAGAAGCTCAATTTATGTGAAGTTCCTCGAATTCCATTTTATATTTATTTGTGTCTAGATCCAACCCTTGCAGTTAGTCTCAATATCGTTACGTATGATAAATATATGTGTGTGCCATACATCTATGTTTAATGGAACAAAAGTCATAAGCAAGCTTAAACGGAAATTCGTTATCATACTTTAAATGTCCTCGGAGGATTTAAAAAGGATATACAGACATATATAATGAGATTGAAATTTATTCCTCGTTGACATTATGATAGTAATAATAATAATAATCTGAAGCGACAACCCGTTTTGTGTGATGTTACTTGGGATGAATGACTGCGCATGTAGCACAGAATATCCAGTAATATTCGATTTAATAAAATAACGATCGAAAAATATTTAAAAACCAACTGTCGAAAAAAATTCAAATTTGAAAATAACGATCAAAAACTACAAAAGCACATTTTAAAGACTCCAGACAAAATGCCAACAATTATGTGAACTTTATGGAAACAGCAACAAAAAGCAGTATGAGGAATAGGATAATTTTACTACAAACAATTCATTCTCATTGTACTGTAGCTAATGTTGATGATAATGATGACAATTGCCATTTTACTCAAATAAATCTTTCTCATTTTATTGTTTTTATTTCTTCGAGCTTTATTTTTTATTCCTTTTCATTTTGAATCGAAATCGCAGTTTAAGTACTTTTAATTTCATTTTCTTGTAAATTTATTATCTTAAAAGCTACTAACAAATTTTTATAGCTTTATGAAAAATCTATTTTAGCACGAGAATAACAGAAAATATGAAATTGAGGCACGCTGAGAAATGGAAAACTTTTAAAATTACTTTCCAAAGTTTTTTAAAAAAACATGCAGAAAAAAAGTTTAAGTTGTTGATTACGAGAGGAAGCAAGGGCAAGTTTGGGGTTTCAAGCATGATTTTTTGGAATAAACTCACTGGAGCTAATAAAGTTTTAATTGAGCTCTAGATTAAAGTCGATCGAATCAATCTAGATTCCTATTGAATCTTTAGTGGACGCTAAGATGTTCTTTTTATCTTTAAAAACCGGTGCCAGCATGTCATAATCTGACAATAACCAAATAACTTAACTTATTCTCTTAACTTCATATGCCAAATTTCAATTTCAAATGCACCAACAATCTGCTCGCGGCTTGTTAAATTTCAAAATTGATTAAAGACAAGCTGAATAAAATTTGTCAATCCTCAACATCATGACAGCATGTCATTTCAAAACTCAAGTTAATCTTGACTCCAGGGGCGTAGCCAGAAAATTTTTAAGGGGGGGGGGGGGGGGGCTATTTTCGAAAATTAAAAAAACCGTTATTTTGTATCCCTAAATCCATATTCATTCTTCATAAGTTTAAATATTTAATTCATTAATCATACATTAAATTTAATTTTTCGTGCTGATTTTGACATTTCTTTCATTACTTCCTCTACATTAACTGTTTCTTCTCTATAAATACTTAATAAAACAATAATCAGATTTTCGTAGGGAGGGCCCAGGCCCCCTATGCCCCCCCCCCCCCCCCCCCCTGGCTACACCCCTGCTTGACTCAACACAAATTTTTCATTTCTGACAATTTCGCATGTAAAAAAAAATTCAAACACGAAATATTACTAAAAATGCGTCATTCACAACAAATATGTGATCATGTTTTCTTTTATGAAGAAAACACTCAGCATGTCGCACACATATATTATAAAAACAAGCTATCTCTTGAATAAAAGATATTTTGTTACGTAAGAGCAGCAATGAAGAAGGAAAATAAAACTTGTATGGATGCTTAAATCATAGAGCTAAAAGAAATTATGGCTGCACTATAGTGCACGAGATGAGAGACGATGGAAGGAGAAAAAATTAGGACATGAAACTTTCTCGCAGACAACGAAAAAAAAGAGGAAAAAAAAATTCTGCCACACATTTCTCAAAAATGTAAGGAAACTGGAATAGAAAGAAGTTGAAAAGAAGTATTTTTCTTTTTAACTGTGCCACGCTCTCTATTCATCCACTTTATATTTTTGCTCTGTAATTTGTTGTCATAATTACAAAAGGAAAAGTCTCATTTAACAGAAGCAAAGAAATATTTTTTTTTTTCACTTCCTGAAAGACTAGGATGAATGTGGAGAAAAGCGCACAAGATATGTTTAGTTCCTTCATAAATTAGTTGAAAAGTTTAGCTGTCAAAAAATATTTGTAAAATAACGGACGAAAATTATTTGAAAATTTTCCAAAATAAAACCGTTATAAAGTTACAAACACCTTAAATTTAAAAAAAAATGACGGTTACAAATCAGCAACACAACAGCTAAGACAGAATAAAAACACAGCCATATATCTAGCTAAAATGTGTCAAATCTTACATTGGTGCTGTTTTGCAATTAGCAGCATACCATATCTTAGTTTGTAGGTATGATAAAGGAGGAAATTATGAAATGAAATATAAAAATGGAACAAGCACTTTTGGTAGAATCGTACAATAGACGGCAGAAAATGTTAAGAAAGCATTCATATCAGCTCAAGATGCGGCATTGTTGACATACATATCTAGGATGTTTTGCATCTCTACAAGAATCTTCTTATCTCCATACATATTGAAATGTCAGGCACAGTGTGCGTTTGATATGATGATTGAGGATAATTGCAAGGAATTCCAATTAATCTAAATTACTATTATCTCCAACATACATATCGTATCCATGTTCACCTTCACATTTTCTATGTGCTATTGTGCATGTAAATTTAAATATTTTCTCTCTCTTTCCATTTCCATCCTTTCAAAAAAGTACAATATAGAGTATGAAAAGTTATTTCAGCAACCTGGCGCCATAGACTTGTAGGTAAACAACGGAAATTTTTTCTATGTAACCCTCATATCTATAAATATTATTGTTTTTAACAAAGCATATGTAGTTGAACTTTCATCCCTTTTTATCGTGTTCCGCCTTTAAAAACTTAATTCGTTTCAAAGGAATGTTGTGAAAAAATGTTCAATGTTTGGATGTAAGGGCAGCATGTTATGATATTTTGAGTGCATGCAACTACTAAAAGGTTGAGCTGATAAAGAAAAGTCAAACTCAGGATCCACGAAGAATCTAGTCATTCGGACAGACAGCTATAATATAAACCTAGCTCTACATTTTCCATTACAGAAATCCGCGCTATTAAGTTAAACTTCTGTACACCTTGACATGTTTCACTGTTGCAACAGCAAAAAAAGGGAAGTAATTGAATTTTCAAGTGAACGAGAATATGTCATGAATGTTGAATATATTGAGATACTTCAAGCTCATGGCTTATTCTAGAAAAACAGCGCTCAAGATAACGTGATAAGTATCCACAAATTATGTTTCGTTTTTTATATTTACAGCTTAAGCACTTACCTTCTGTTATAAAGTCATAGCTTTGTTGAATAGATTGTTGTTGAAATTTATGCTGATAGTCCATATCAAATAATTGATTTGCATTATGCAGCATTGCCTGAGGTAATGAATTAACAACCATTGTGTTGTATTGATCAGTAATTTGTGGTAACGGCGGAAGAACTTCATCCTCAGGCGATCTCTCACTTCCATATCCCTGATCATAGCATTGATCGCTAACTTGTTGTAATGGTGGATTTTGTGTCACAATTCGATTGATTGGATCAAATGTAACACGATGCCCGTGTGCTGAAATTATGATAATGGAAAAAAATTGAAAAATATATTAAATTATTTCATAATGTTTATATTTCAATTATTTAAGCTATCATAAGCATAGAGTGGAAGACTGAAGAGAGATGAAAAGTTAAACGAGAGAAGAGAAAAATTAATTTATCATTCTATGATGAACATGATAATAACAACATTGTTAACAAGTAGTCTAATGTATATATATATATAAGGAAAAGAGGATAGAAGAGTACAAGAGGGAAAGAAAAGCTCATAAAAGCATGTAGAATAATTTAAATATCATAAAAATACATGCAATTTTATATTTTATGAAAAACAGACACTTTTATTAGATAGCAATTGGGGCGTAGCAGGGGAAGTTGGGGGGTTTCATACTAACCCCCTTCTCCTCTTATCCTTAATTGCACCCCTGGATAAGAAAACATAGAAATTGAGGAAACATGAGAAGAAATATGATTTAATGTTTAACGCAAAATCAATAAAGAGAAAACTCTTTAAAGTACATAAATTTCAACAAAAAAGCAAAAAAAAAGGAAAGAAGTTTGCAGAATACATAAAAATAAAAATAATAAAACTGAAATGAATGCATGAGCATTATGTTTCTCATGCATGAATATGAATTCAGAAGTGAAACATAAAGTTATTGTATACAGAGCTTTTGAAAATATATAAAAGCTCATAATATTCAAGATTTATGGCATTCAAATAGAACTAGTTTTTGCTCAAATAATACAAATTTAGAATTGGAGAAGTTCCTGAAAAGTTTTTAAATTAAAATGAAATTGTTTTGTTTTTAAATTTGAAACAATTGAATTTTTCTCAAAAATTGACCAATTTCAAACTTAAAACTAATCAAAAAGGGCTAAAGTACTCAATTTTAAGTTTAAAATCATCCAAAATGACCAATTTTAACTGCAAAAGACCTTTAAAATTCATCGTTTAAACATTTAAATCCAATTAAACAATCAGTGTCCCTTAAACCACGATATTTCATCAAAAATAAAGTATAAAGCAACATTATTGATTGTTCCTCATCCATAAACATCTCTCGTGCCGTGTGAATACATAAAAAAAATTTATGTGAGGTCTTTTCTCCCTACTTTTGTATGGAAATGAAAAATTAAAATGCAAAACGAATATTAAATAGATAGGAATCAAGGATGGTAATTTCATGCACACATACATGAATTTCTACTCGATATACATCTCAATACATATCTATAAACAACATAAATAACAGTTTATGTGAAAAAGCTCTTTTTATCCAAAAAATCCTTAAACATACAAAAAGAGAAGAATAAAATGTATTTAAAGTAATCAGGAAATGTCTCGTTTTAGACACAAGAATACATAAAAATACGATATCCATTTTCTAAATCAAATTCAATTTTCCTTTTTTTTTTCTACATCCTAATATATATTTTTAATCTTATACTTGTTAAGTACGCGCTTATTTGAATAATAAAAATATACGGAATTCTCATTGAATGAATGAATGAACGAATGAATAAGAGAGAGATAGGATTTCCATGATAGCAATTTTATTATAGATTCAAACATAAAAGGACGTTGAAAGAAGCCGAAAGTGAGCTTAATATATTATATTTGTGTGGCGCTCTAACTGATTACTGTTTATTTTCCAAATTATTTCCTGTCTCGCATATATGTGTATCGTATTCCTATGTGTAGACACACATAAATAAAATTTTTATATAAAGGCTTTTGGAAAAACTCAGCTTGAAGAGCTTTTTTTCCCCTTTAGATAAAATTTTCATTTTTTTCTCGGCACATTGTGTTGAAGGAAGGTGTTTCTTATGACTGCATTTTGTCTGTTTGACTTTATAAAATTTAAAATTATGTAAGCTTTTGGTTTAGTTTTAAAAGCTTTCAAAACTTTTGGTTGCATTTCTCAAATCCTGAATGACCGTTATTTTTCAAATATTTTTTGTTTTCAATTTACAAAACTGCGCCTCATACACCACAACCAACTAAGTCTATGCTAGTCATCCTCATGTGAGGGTAGCGGAAACAAGTATTTTACTGCTTAAAGATCTCTCCTCATTCATCATTCATTCATTCAGATTTTTAGCGCATTTTTTTGTTGTGTGTGGTTTTTCGTTCGGAATATCCCTCGACATAAATTTTTTGACAGTAAAATAAGGGAGGACATAAAAAATGTATAAATTTGCTAAATAACAATTTAATTTTAAGCGAGAAATAACAGCAACAATAAAAGTATAAAGGTGATTAATTCATTCACAAATATATGTGGATGCTTGCAATGTCTCGCGAGTTTGTGTTTTTAATCAATCAATCAATCAATCACCTTGATGCGGTATCCTGAACGAATTGGTTTCATGATTTCGTATAAAATTTTGCCTAACATACGTATTAGCAACGCGAAATGAGAGATTTTGTTGTTTTAGATGAACAAAATGTTGTTCGGCTTGATAGCGGTGCTGTTGCTGATAAATTTCATCAAATTTCCTAATTGCAGACAATTGTGCATTATCATAGCTAGGTGGTTGATTTGATGGATATTGATATACTACAATGATGTTTGTAGAGAGAAAATAGAAATGTCCACAACATTAAGTTATTCTCCGTCATGTTAGAATATTCTTCATAATGTAATATAGCTCAAAATAGATATGTCCAACAAGAATGAAAGAGCCAGTAAGATGTTACTATACACACAAATGATATCACAAAAGCCAATACTTGATAATTTAGAACAAAAGGAAGAAATTTGTTAATACTCACTGCTACTATTCGTATCATCACTGCCCTCATAATCAACGTCTGTATCGAGATGATTAGGCAAACTTCCATGTATAATTTTCTTCTTGTCCTTGTCCTTCTCTTTATCCCTGCATTTTCCTTGATTTGATTTCTTTGGTTTTGTTATTGTGGTCACATTTGAATTTGCTGCTATAATTTGTCCAATTCCGTCAAAGTTCTGTTCTCCATTGTTGTTGTTATTAAATGGCTTTTTATCGAAATCCTGTGCTGATATATTACTGTTCTTTCGTTTAGATTTTGAGTATTTTGTTGAGCAGCAGATGCCATTAGTTATGGATGATGACTTGTTATCGATATTGTCTGTAAAATATCACCTCATTTACTCTCAAATTTTTCTTATATCAGTGAATGTATTAAATAGGAAATTGGAAATGGCTTCAATTCAATTCAATTAGATCGCTCCAATTGCCTTCAAGCCACTTAACTTTTTCATTTCGAGTGATATAAATTTTGTGCTACAGTCGACCTAGAAACAGCGTTGGAAGACTGACAAACTAGATTGCTCTATATTTGGCAATATTGAGCATCCAGAATGGATCTAAAAATAGTTGCTCTTATCAAAAAGATCCAGTAGATGAAAAATTTATCACTTTTATGCATCAAGTCAATCTATTTTCCAACGCTGCATCCAAATAGTATTTATACTCACTTTGAGATTGTGTTCTGCGACCTGATAATCCTTTTCCCGAGCTCACATTTGATCCCATAATTTTCTCAGTGCGTGTTGATGTGCTAATTTTGTCATTAATATAATGATCATCAGATGTTGGCTCTAATATGTTCCTTTTATCATTCTGCTCATTCAATTCGTTTGATTTCTTATCCTCAGAATTTCTATCACGTTCACGACAATTTCTTATTTCCTTTGGATGTTGTAATGATTTTAAATTGTTATGTTGTTGCAATGATGCCAATCGTTTGACTAACAAAAGAAATACCTGAGGGACAAATAAAAGAAACAATATTGGGTATGCAGAATGGGATAATTGTAATAAAATTAAGCATTTTCACAAAAAATTTCTTTTGTTTGTTTAATGAAGATCCAGTAAGGTCTCTTTAATTGATTTGTAATTAAGTTTTAAACGAATTACATGCTTCAGATGAAGCCTTTGATAGTTTTGAACATTTAGAAAGCAGTATTATGATGTAGAATTAATTAAATTACCTTGTATTTAATTTAATATCTTTTCACAGAAAAAAACACACACGACTGCAAAAAAAGCTTTGAAAAACTGATTGAAACCGTCAAAAATTATTTGAATTCCAATCGTATATTGATGCAAAAATTGATGCGAAACTTTAAATTGGATTAAACCGTTATAAATGACCTCCTTTTTGCTCGCAAAACAAAGCGTGAAATAATGAAATGATTTTTATCTACAATCTTATCATTGAGATATAAAAAATTCTCTCTTTCTTCGCTTTTGTATTTTCTTACGATTATCTATCTATTCACAACCACCAACAAGTCGCGATAAATCATCATTAGCACTGCATTCATCACTAATTTCACGTTCAATTTATCAGTTTGTAAACCCAGTCATGATAAATGCAGTTAAATATGTTAGTGACTCATGAATGAACTCATATTATAGACGTAATAAAAGTGAAGAGCATCATCTATATCATCAAATCACACTCGAGAAAATCAAATAATATGATGAAAATTTATGATTGCCATTAGCAAAAAATGAGAAAATAACTTTTTTGGATTTAAAGAGATGTTTCTGAATGCAGGGGTGTAGCTACTATATTTTGAGGTTTGATTCGATAATTATGAGGTTGTTGCTCGGAGAAACTTTTTATCTTATTTAGAAAAAGGGAGGGGGGGGGGGGGGGGTATTGACACCCAATTACACCCCAGAACATGGTAGATGAGCAAATAGAAGCACTTGAAAATGGGTTGAACGTACGAGAAGTGAAATCAAAATATACATAAATTACTGAATCCATAAATTCCACTCGATATCCTCTCATGTGCCTCAATACAATAATGAGAAAAAAATTATTTCCTCCTTTTCTTTTCATGTGTTTCTTATTTCTTATTTTTTTGTAAAATTTATCTCTTACTGTATGTACCGTTGGAAATATATAACATACATAATTCAATCAAAATTGCTACAAAATTGAAATTTGAGTGCACGCCTATACACACATGTAAAGTTTGTCTTGTGAATTGATGGAAAAGCTGCTGGGTCATAAATTTCATGAAAGAAGGATGAAAAACCAATAAATTTTTGATAATACGTTATAAAGAAATGATAATGGAGGGATGAATATGAGTATTGATATCTCGTGCCATTAGGTTGGAATGTACGTATGAATCAATTGAGAGGAAATAATTTTATTATTATCTAGTATTAGATGTAATTTTATATTGCTGGCTATTATTGTTTGCCATTTTATTATTATTACAAGACAAACCTTCATAAAGAAAACATTGAAATTCTATACAGGCGATTGGGTATGTTCTTTGGAAAGTGTGGGAGTTTTGGTTCGCATTTTGACTTTGCAACGGTTTTTAATCATAATTTAACATTTGTAACGAAAAGTTCAAATATTTCAAAACCGTTACAACTTCAATAATTTTCAAATTTGTTAAAAAACCTGAAAACTATTTCACAATCTTTAAAGTCGCAAATGAAGTTACGCCACATTAAAATAACTTTCATGACAGCAATAAAAAAAAAATAATGTCTATTGCGGCGCCTGACTAAATTGCTTGTCTGATAAGAAATGAAATCGCCATTCAAAATTTGTCATAAGAAATAAATTGAGTGAAATTCGATAATAATGCGTTAATTGCAAGGCTGTATACAGTCTGCCATCAATTATTATCTGCCTTAATTAGACTTAATTGTGCAGGTAATTGGCAATTTAAAATTAATTTTCTCCTTGAATTTTAATTAATTTCTTCCTGTCAGTGATTTCATTCAGTGATTACTCGTAGTGTGCTTGATGAATTATTAGATGTATGATCCATTGAATTTGCTGATTTGATCTATTACATTATGTCTAATCTTGACCTTAACTTCAATTATCTTATAGATTAGGATCAATAATGAGAACTAGATTAGATCTGACCTTAATTCTAAGAACTAGCTAGCTACTTACCTCATCAGTAGATGGACTCGAGTTCTGCACATCCTTCAAATACTTCTGTGTCTCGAGGCTTATTTTACTTATGTCCTGCACGTCAATAATACGCGGGGAGTGTGCTAATGTGTTGCTATTGTTTATCGCTGCGACGTTATCTTTAATTAGAGAAATTAAAACACATGAAAACATAAATTTTGTTATGTTACGCCTTATCATCATTTAATATATATCCAACGTAAATTTTTTTACAGTTTAATAAACTGTTTTATTAGCAGCACTAATATTAAATCTACAGACATTTACAAATTTCTGTTCTTTGGGTTTAACAGATTATAACTCATTCATCTACACACATTTATGGATTTAATATATACAGTCAGTCAGTGTGTACTATGGAATTAATATAAATATTCCATACATCAGTAACATATGTGAAAATCATAAATATATGAACTTAATTCAGAAAATTAATTTTCACTTCAAATACACATGCATGCTTAATAGGTCTTCTTTATTTCATTGTTGTTGTTGTTGCTGTTGGCTGTTTTGTGAAATCACATTTTGGTTCACATTGAATTAATTTTTTCTGATCATGAAAAAATAAAAACAATATTATTTAGAGGCAAACAAAGCATAACGAGTATGAATATGCTCATGCATGATATCCGGTGTGCTTTTAGCTGAAACGCATTTTAGTTTTTGGGTTGTTGAAGGTGTGTGACATTTGTGTCTAGTTGTTGATTGTTATTGGATTACCAAAATTGTTTGAAATGGCATGAAAGTTTGCGTGTCCATCAATCAAAATTGAATGATTTATAAATTATTTGGCTTATATGCGGAAAAAATAAAGAAACAGCAGCAATGAAGTAAAGGAGATAGTCTTCAGTTTGAACTCTAGTTGTTCACAACTTTGCTTTTGTATGTCAATGCACACAAAGTATGGCTAGAAGCAACAGTATGAAGTATCATGCATTTGTCCGAAGCAGTTCATAGTTATATTAACAAGAAGTTAAATCAATTAAATAAAAGTGATTCAGTAAGGAAAGCTCAATCCCACTCCCACCTCGACTTTTAAGAAATTAACTTAAAATTGAATAAGAAGTGAGTCCTTGTTGCATAAATCCAACTTGTAAAAATCTCTTATAGGGTTTCATATCTTTCAACATCATGCACGACTTTTAAGTGCCTGAAACAGCTTGGAAAATAGCTTTTTTTCGGAATCATGTTTAGAATATTTTATTACATTTGATCAGCAGCTACAAGTATTTGCTGTTTGAACATAAAAGAAACCAACATTACTTCCATTGAATATATATTGATTAGAAACCCTCCAAAAACTAATTCCATTTCAAGTATTCACTTATATTAAAGGTCAATTTAGGTTCCCTTTGAGACACATGAATAAAATTTTGCGGCTGATGCTAATTCGCAAGTTTTTTCTTCGTACTTGACCCCTTCGGGGTTAATAATTTCATTACTTAGATACAAATAGAGATAATGACATTAAGTAGAAAATAGAAGCAGTAATAAAATTTTGAGTATGAACTTTGTTGCTAAGGATGATTAAGTACATTTGGAATCTTGCTTTTGGAGGTGAGAGTGGGTTGGTTCTATTTCTAACCCTTCTTTTGCTTTATTAATTCCAAAATTTTATAGTCTGGAAGAAAGTTGGACCATAAATCAAAAACTATAGACACTATCTGCTAGACACCACATTGCAGACTTTAATTATTAAATGAAACACAGGATAAAGCATTAAATCATGTAGCTTGTTATTTATTAAACAAATTAATAAAATATTAATAATAATTTTTTCAAGCCCACGAGCAATTTATTTTCAATTATGAAAAAAAATCACGAAATTAACACGAAGCAGCGCTTATCCAAAGAGTAATGCATTAAGCAAGCACTTGTCTTAATACCAGATTATAATTAGAACACAAACGCCGTCAAAAATACATCATGTGCTTAATTATTATTTCCTTAATGATCTCTCGCAATAAAAATGAAGCATAAATCCCCATTTTCACCGAACTGCCCACACATATTGTGCCAAAATGAAAAATAAGGCACACAATATTAAATGAGAAAAAATTACGACTAAGAGAGAGGAAAAATCAGCATTTGAAATAAATAATTAAGTATGAAAAATGTTGCGAATTCAAGTGTGCTTCATATCCGGAACTTTTCATGGTTCATTGCAGTGCAGGAAATAAAAACTGAATGAAGAATTATTTTTTTTTTTTGTTAATGCATAATGAAATGACTTCTGTCTTCCTTTAATAGCGGATCTCATAATGTTTAATGATCAAAAAATAAATAAAGCAAATAATATTAATAGACGAGGTGTTGTTCATAAGTGACTGTCATTAAAAAATGGAATTTCCATGGCAATATATGCCTTTTTAGAATCCCATATAGCTATAAACATCTGGATTGATAACTTACTATAACTTTACTATGTCAACATTGAAACAGCTTGAATTTTTATACTTCAAATTTTAACTTGTTCAATATTTGTTAAAATCTACTCTAAGCTGTGAGATACAGCATAGGCTCAGTGGTCTAGGGGTATGATTTTCGCTTAGGGTGCGAGAGGTCCCGGGTTCAAGTCCCGGCTGAGCCCTATTTTTTGCACTTTTTTATTTTGCTCTAGTGCGAAGGCACCTGAATCTTAAAAATTAATTTTTTTGATGGACGTCATTTATGAACTGTCTCTAAGACAAATAGATTATGTCACATGAGAAGGCAGGATTTGACGAAAGAAAAAAAAGTAAATAATAAAGAATATTTCTGGGAATAATAAATGTTGATGCATAAAACTTTTGTTCTTCTTCTTTGACTCTCAAAAGCAACACTGAGAGGATCCATTTTCCAAGGCCATAGAACTCCCAAAATAGTATACCCGTGAGTGAGCATTGTGCAGTAACGTATACAAACTATTGCGCAAAATTAAGTTAACATGAGCAAAGTATAGTTAAATATTGTAAAGTGAAGCAAAGTTAACCAAAGCATAGTAGAATGTAGCAAAGTGTAGCAAAAGTGTAGCAAGTGTAGTTTAAGTGTAGTAAAGTGTTGTAAAAGTATAGTCAGTATAGTGAGAGTATAGCAAGTGTAGTAAAAGTATAGAAAGTGCAGCAACATAAAACTGTTTAAAACTTTAAAAACCAAAATGTTTAAAGTTGATTTTGAATTAATTTTGAAGTAATGTTTATTTTACCATTCAATTTATTTATAAATAGTCAATATTATCGCAACTTAAGAACCGCTTATTATTTGAAATTTTATATATAAAATATATTTAAAATGTAAATATAAATGAAGCTTTTCTCATGTAAAAAATAAAACTATTGAACTAAATTCAAATATTTCAACATTAAGGATGCCTTCCTAATTACGAAGAATAGTAACGAAAGAATAGTGAGAATCAATGTTTTTGATATTGTTGGTTTTAGAAAAAATTAAATGTTATCAACACTTTTGATATATATTTTTAAAAAGTTTTTTTTGGAAAGTTAATCTTGTTGAAATAAAAAGCCAACATATTATTACAAAATAAATTTAAAATATTGTTTTTCTACAGTCCCTTCATTTAATTTCGAAATGCAAATAAATTGAAACTAATTTATATGAAGCTTGTATTTATAGCTTTTTTTAAAAATTTAAACTTAACACAAATCGTCCTCATTAGTTTTTTTAATATAAGCTTACGTGAAAAAATCAAATTCGAGTCAATTCGAATTAAAATTTTTCATAATTTTTTAAAAATTTTTTCAATTAAAATTACTCATTTTTAAAAACAAAAGCACAACATTTTAGATTTTTTTTTAAATTTTTCGATTTTTCTATACTATACTTTTATTTTATTTTTGACAAATTTCCTTACAAACTAAAGGTATCAATTAGAAATTTCTTTGACATGAATGAAACTATTTCTGCCTTAGTAGCATTAGTGCTTTATGTTTTTGTAAGCTCTTTCTTTTCCATCAGCTAAATATGGTTTAAAATGATAGAATAATAAAAAAATAATATTTTAAATTCTATAACCTTTAGTTAAGTTTTTAAACATTTTCTTTTAAATTTTTATAATGATTGCAAAATCTTTTATTTTATTTTTTGTTTTTTGAAAGTATGATTACAACGTATTAATGGACCACATGTTTAAGAGGCCTATAACTATTTAGATTGAAATTATGCACTAATTAATTTGATTAAAAATAAAGTACAGAAAAGTACGAGTAAAGTGCACTAAAGTGTAGTAAAGGGTAGTAAAGTTAAGCAAAATGTACTTAAGTATACTAAAGTAAAGTAAAGTAAAGTAAAGTGTAGTAAAGTATAGGTTAATGTACTTAAGTAAAGTAAAGAGTAGTAAAAAAGAGTTAAGTGCAGTAAAGTTTAGTAATTGCAGTGATTGTGATACATTGTATAGTAAGTGTACTGAAACATAAGTAAAAATTTATAAAGTTGAGTAAAAAAGTAGTGATTGTAGACATAGTGCAAGGAGTTCTATGGCCTTGCCATTTTCCCACAGCTATTAAGGAGACACGTATTTTTGATCCTTCCGGATAAACATCATAAAACATTTTTCATTGTTAGAATGACCTTACTCTGATTGAAGCAGGTAGGAATTGTTACTTTATATTGAATAGCCTTTTTTTCCTCTCTTTAGCGTTTCGGTGCCTTCCTTTCTCTTTGTGTACATTTCTTCTGAATGATATTATTCAATATTTCATCATGACTTGAAATTCATTTCGATGCTAACGCATCATACAGAGTTGCTGCCCGGGAGTCTGAATGCATTTGGGAATTTCATGATTCATTTTAGTAAGCTGAGTCAGAACAGCATGAGTTTAATGAATTTTTTATGATACCCAAGTATATAACAGTGGAAACCTGTATAAACTTTATATTTTAGACATTTCCAAAAGAATTTGTCTAATTGTTTTAAGCTATGAATATGTTGCTGTAAAATGCGATTTAAATTCATGCTTGAAGCCTTTTGTTTTTTTTTGGACTGTAAGAATTCTTTCATTACATTTCCGGTTCATTTGGGGATTTGAGCATTGACATGATTAAGTACTGAGAAGATTGACAAAGAAAAAAAAGAGTTTTATCAGCAGGTACTAATATCCTTTTGGTTGTACATTCTTGAGGG